TTCAGATAAATAAGGAATGATTGAATTGTAAGATCAAATACTGAAATGACTGAGGAGCCAGAGCAAAGTGCTGCAATATTTCATCCAATGATATATTAAATGTACACCGCTTCACAACATGCATACAGTCTGTACAGCAGAATAAACAAGATTACAGAAAAGCTTACGAGGGAAGATTTGAATCTGCATGCACACCTCAAGCTGTTAGTAAGTGAAGAGCAGCCCTACAATTACCTTTTTGCCTCAAATATTCACTTAGCTTCCTTAAACTGTTTTGTAAACAGTCTCGTGGTGCGAAATTATTAGTTTTTTGGTGATTTTATGATTAGATACTTGTAACAATGTTGCAGACGGCAATGTTGTCATTTTTATTTGACCGCATCGTGGCAGTGTTGTCTCAGTGTCTGTCTAAAATCAGACAGTTTTTCTGTTTAGCTGTTTGTTATAGTAGTTTTCATTCAGATCAGCGTCTTCTTTGATGAATAGTTCTCATCGATATTCATGAATCGGGTCATTTAAAAGCACAGAGGTCAAATACACTCAGCTGACAGCCATAGAAGTTACCGCTAGTAAGGGATTCACATTCGCTAGCCTGCATTGACTCAGCTCCATAAAGTGCCCAAATGGTTTAGTTTCTTATTACCAAAAACTTCAAATCAACCTCTTTCATGGCGAACGTTGTCATTCAGCTGTGCAATAACCCAAAGAAGTGGCTGTAATTAGAAATTGCTGTTCTGACTCAGTGAAAACAAGTCTAGACTGAGAAAAAAAAAAGAATTCTAAATTTGTGTTATTTCTAAACAGGCTCTGTAACAGGTTACAAAGGACATTTTAGATCTTGGTAGAGCCAAAGTATGTCAGGTTTGTCCCTTCACATGAGGATTCCTTGTTTAGCTTCTCTGTTTTTCAGTTTTTCAGTCTCATTTTCCTCATATTGTATTTCAGCTTATTTACTCCAAATTGTAATGATCATTCTTTAAAATGCAGCTTCCATTCAAAGAGTTGCCCATATGGATGGTTGCCAACATGTTTGAGCTCTCTCGGCGGGCAGAAAGATGCCCATCAGTCTCTCCTGTACTTTTCTATTTATATAATATTGGAGTGAAAAATCTTCTTGTCAGCAAATATCAGACCCACTGAAGCGTTCTCAGCCAAGGACCGAACCTGAGCACCTTGAGCGCTGATGATGCATATACTAGCTGACACCTGACCTCTGAGTGGCAGTCAGGTGTCAGCTTCTGTACATGAGGATTTAACTGCAGTTCAGTCAGGACCAATATAATCAAACGATGATTGTTATTTCCAGCTGTAGTGATTTATATTTGGCTTTTATGAGCTCTGAGAGCATCAGCCATCAGAACAGAGCAGGCAGTAACAACATACATGACACTGGCTAAATTATTTACACGATGAAAGAGGAACTGCAGTGGACTGGGCTGCAGAGTGGCTTGCAGAATTGCAAGAACTTCGTGCAGGCTAAAGCAGTTTAAATGTGCACCCTGTGTGAGATTTACCAAGTCAGTGAGTAGAGATGAATCAGCGGCACCATCAGCTGATTCATGGGAATAATGAGGATGATTTAATGTCCTGTCATTATGCACAATTAGGCAAGGATTTCTGTGTAAGGATCATAAAGTCTCACACTGCCATTTTTACATGAATGTGTTGATTTGTACAAAAACAACCTTGATGTAGAGCTTTCTCCAATCACATTGTGTCTCTTCTAACTGCAGCAGGTGCTGCATCAGAGCAATGCAGAGACTGATACAAGGAAACGGTAGTTCCCATCCATATGGTGTCCAGTTACACACACACACACACACACACACACACACACGACAAAAGAGAAACAAAATCTAACAGACTATCTTTGGCCAACTGTAGCGCTCGCCCACATAAATGTCCGCTTGGCTCTGCTCTGATCACATAATTGCTCTGTGCACACCTCTCCCACTCACACACATGCACAGAAGTAGAGCACACATACAGAGAGGATACACTGAAGCACACTCGGGGAGTTTGTACACACATACACTTAGAACCTGGATATATACAGCACACACACAGTCACAGTTTGGTATGTCAAGAAGTGGTCTATTCACCCGCACACGCTCACATACATGGCAAACACCAAACAAAGACTCCCACCAACTCACCTACCCACACACAGTCAGCAGGCTGAGGGGCGAGCGTGCCAAAGACAGACGTGGAGAGAAAACAATTTAACTAGTCTTAAAAACATCTTCACCAAGTTTGATTCTCACGAAGAAGCAAACGTTGAGAAACTGTGATATTTCTTTTGTTGCTGTTGTCAAAAAGTTTTTGATTATTTTTTTATTCCATAAAATTGTATCCAGGAAGAAGCACTTTAATGCGGATCTCAGGGTGGGCCGGAAAGCATTTTGGCAAGCATCTTTTCAGGTTAACTCTCAGTGACTGGCTGCCAGCTGCAGGGTCTGTTCTGTGGGTGACCTCGACCTTTGAGCTCCTTTTAGAGAAAGTCAACTTCGGATGAAGAAAGTGGGTAAGGGTGGGGTTGGGGTTTCCCTGCAAGTTTTGTCATGTCCTGCATTTTTCTACCCATGATTTCATTTCAGCTTAATTATGTTAAACTATGCAACCAAGGCAAAAATAGCTATTTGATAGTCATATGATTTTTTTTTGTTTATATAAGTAAATGTTGCATGCACAGTGTGTAATAATAGTAGTGTAACAGCACCTCATAAACCATATGCTTTCACCATGCAGTTCTGTCCTCCACCAGGTATGAAGTCTCCCAGGAAAATGATTGAAGTGTGTTGCCTGCAATATTCCATCAAGTATAGCAAGCAGACACAAACCACAATTGTGTTATTCTTACAGTGGTTGGGTGAAGTGCTGTAATGCAATTCTCAGATGCTGAGTGTGTGTAATTACAAAGAATCTCTGAAGTATTGTTATGCTTGCCCTCGTATTCCCTCGATTAAAGCACCAGGACCAACACGCTCACTTATAAGCAAGCAAAACAGTGAGACAGGATTACATTAAAGGGGAATCAATTCTAACTGGATTGTTATAATTAGATGACCTGAGCTTGCTAAAAATCGCTGGGTAATTTTCTGTGTTTTTATCACTTTCAGGATCTGGCAGGAGCGTGTGAGAATAAAATTACAGATGCTGTAGGTAATATTTATAATGAAAGATTCCCTGAGTGTAACACCGCAGGTGAAATGCTCCATTCAAGTATGAAGGCAACATGAAAGTGAATCAAAATGCTAAACAGCTCACCTCTAGGTCACACATACAATACTGCAAAAGTCTTGAGTTACTCCTCATTTCTTTATATGTTACTAGGAAACTTGGAAACATAAATAGAAACATAGTATGGAAGGCAAAAACAGAGTTTGTACAGTTAGTTAGTCTTTTATTCTTCAGCACAGTCTGAACTCTCTCAGGCCGCTTTCTTCTCTCTCAGGCTGCTTCAGGATTATTTCTCCAGACGTTCAAAGCTCTTCTTTGGCTGTTGTTGTTCTGTTCAACATGATCCCACACAGTATCAATACATTTGAGGTCCGGCTCTGGGGAGGCCAATCCATGACTGATAGTGTTCAACTGTGTGTTTTTCAGTCCAGGTGTGATTTTACTTTGGGATCATTGATGCTTTCCAGATGTTATGGATGCAAAATCTGACCTTACTTTTTTGCATTCAGTTATGACAAAATCTCAAACACCACCAGCTGATATGATTTTACAGATGCCTGCAGACACTCGCTGTTTTGACTGTCTCCTGAGCTCATCTGTAAATATTGATGATCATTTGAGCCAAAATGTTCAAGCTTGTTAGGACTGATTTTCAGTCCAGTTCCTGTGTAATGGGACATGCCTCAGCGTTTTCTCCCAGTTTTCCTTCCTTAAAAATGGCATTTGGCAGCCACTCTTCCACTGAGGCCATGTCTGATGAAGCTTTAGTGTACAGTAGATGGATCGGTTGAAGGATCAGATGCATGTCTTTCAGGATCGTGGTCAGGTATTTGCTGGATTTTTTTTTCTTTACTTTCAGATACTGTTCATTTGCTTTAGATAGTTTTAAGACCTGCCACTTGTTTGTCCTCAACGTGTCCAGTTTCCTGAAATTGTTTTTAGGAACACACTGGAAAGTGAGATATGCCAAGTTTTAGGCATTTTTCTTTTATATTCAGCTCAAGAAATGGTAACAAATGCTGTCTAAGAAAAACTTTGAGAAAACCTGGAGAACTTTTGCTCCATTTTAAAAATGATAAGAGAGTCTGGCTCCTTGGGAGCAAAATATAAAGAAATGGGGCATTACTCAAGGCTTCTGCAAAGCACTGTACCAAGATCACCGAATAGTATCACACAAAACTATTGATGCCATACATCAATATCCCAATCAAGCTCCTTCTGTCAAGACGATTAGCGTGACACAACAAATCGATTATGAATAAAAGACTATCAGCAGATCTGTCATCACCGGGCCTGCCGATACACAAATGAGCACAGCAGCAGCAACAATGACAGCAGCAGTCAGACGGGCTGATCATTACACCCCCTCAGCAGAAAAAGGAGAGGGATAGAAATGGAGAGACAGCCATTCTGAGCTTTGAGATAGAGTTTGGAGAGGAGTGTTATCTAAGAAAGGCAGAGGTGGTGATTGTGGATGAGGGGGAAAAGCTGTGGGAGCGAGTGTCCGTTGCATCAACTTAAGAGATGTCAATACATCATAAAGGATGAGAGCAGAGCAGATTGCAGGGGAACATTGAGAGACACCCTATATTTGACAGCAAAAAGGAGAATAAGAGTGAGGTGGAGTATAATGACAAAAGACAAGAGTTAGCATTATCGCGAGAAGACTGTAGAGTGCTGGCAGTGAAACAAAGCAAGAAAAACAAAGCAACAATAAGCTCCAAAAATAAAAAGCCTGAGAATGTTCAAGAGAGAAAGGCTCGTTTTCAACAAAGCAGAGTACGCCACAAGACAACAAACACAGAGGCTCTTCATCCTACCTGAGTTCCTCTTGGAGATGTACTTGACGTCGTCACAGGCTCCCGAGGCGAGGAGGAGGAGGAAGAGGAGAGATAAAGTCTTCATCTCTCTGTTCTCCACTGGCACCTTTGGGAAACAGGACAGAGAGAAAGAGTAAGAGACAGCGCAGGAGGCAACATTGTCATTAAAACCCGGCACTAACAAGCACCCAGTGTAATTGCAAAGTCACGTGTTGTGTCCTGTGCTCTGCCACGATGTAGGACGTCTCAGTTCCTGAAATGCATGTGGAGGACAGCAGACATAGTGAAACTGATTTCTGGTTCACAACCAGGAGTATGGAGAAAGACAAGGTGGGAAACAGTATGGAGTATGGAAATAAGAAACGCCTGTAGTTTTTACAAACAGCCTGCACAAGTGCAAAATCCTAATTTGAGGTTAGAAATAGACTGCTGGGATTCATCAAAGCGTTGCAGTGTCTAAAAGCGTGCACGCAGGTATTTCTGCAGCTGCCCTCGAGACATGTATTGGTGGGCATTTTCAAAGTGCAACATTTTGGGAGGAGAGTAATTAAATGCATCATACTAATTTACAGTAATTTACACCAAATTATGCAAAAATGTTGCTCCTGGTGTGCTGTACGACACTTGACACTAGGAGTGTTAATTTGTTTGGAATGTGAGAAAGAGAGGCCGTCAGAACAAGTTCATACTTTGTGCGGGAGTGAGCACCGTGCTGAGGTTTGGGTTACTGGTTAGTAACCTGCAGGCCAGCATGTTTCTCATCAATAATACTGGTGTTTTGATCAAAATCACACGCAACAATGAATTGAAATCAGCAAGGCCATTTACAAAATTACAAACATTTCCAGATTTTCAAAATGTTTCCCATTCCATCATCATCAAAAGCATGTTGGTCACAGGTCGATTCAAACAACGGTAAATAGTCAAATAGTGTTTTCAGATTTATCTGCCTCATCTATAGAGAGCAACAGTGAAAAGAAATGCTGTTTCTAGTCTACTCTTTCTTCTATAGGCTACATGACAACATTTTGAATGTATTTAAGATAAGATAAGATAGAACTTTATTAATCCCTCGGGTGGGTTCCTCTGGGAAATTCGGTATATTTAGGGTTAAAGTAACAATGAAAACGACGTGTGTGGACCAATCAACAGATGGCTGCCCTGGTTCTGCCAGAGGTTTCTTAAAAGTTTTTCCTTCATTGTCCCCAAGTGCATGCTCAAAGGGGCTTGTCTGGTTGTTGGAGTTTTCTCTGTATTATTGTAAGGTCTTTACATTACAATATAAAGAGGCAAATTGTTGTGACTGTGAGCTGGATGAATGCATTTCTTCATGAAATGTTCTATTGATGAAAAATGATAAAAAATCAATCAAAATATCAATTTCAAAATACTGAGACTGATTTAGATTTAAATATGGGCTCAGATCACTTCAATATTTAATTCTTACATTTTTTTATTTCTTTTCCCCCCCATAAACTGCAGTGCCTACCACATACAGAGTAAATGAGGGTAAGACTGAAATAGAAGATTAGCTAAACCAGCACTCATTCTGTTGTGCTTTTCATCCATTTGATGCTGGAATTAACTGAATCATGACTGTAGTTTGAAATCACCTGAACAATGAAGCAGCTGCTGAGGAGACACGTGAATATTGCTGATATGTGTGTGTCATATCATATGAGCTCTAAAACCATGGGAACAAATCCAAGTGAACACATATAAGATGAAGAGTGTGTGTGTGTGTGTGTGTGTGTGTGTGTGTGTGTGTGTGTGTGTGTGTGTGTGTGTGTGTGTAAATTAGAAATTCCTCAGCTCTACTTTATTTCAAGGAGTTATTATGATATTACAAAGTCTCTCTAGCATAATTTTGTTTTTTGACTTTAGAAAAGAAGAAGGTCTAAAAATGACACAACAACATACAATAATTGTTTCTCACAGCAAACATTTTGACACATTTGTCACACCAAGAAGAGCACAGGTGCATCTAATAATGCTAATGATGGCTACGTTATATGGAGTGTTCCAATAAGCCAGCACAAACAGTACCAGGGCAAGCTACTGAAACAGCTAATTGGAGTGGTACCATTATTATGAACACTGTGTGCACCTGTGCTGAACAAGTCAGAGTGGCTGCTTCTGTAACCATGTTGTCTGACTTCTAGTCCAACGCTGTACTGCTTGGGGGAACAAATTAATTCAGTTATTTATTTAAAAACCCAAAATAAACTTAATGAACATTTTCAATTTATGCAAATATAAAGTGTGGTGCTAATAAATAATGAAAGCACCAATTCTCCTCACTCCGTACGAATGCAAACTTTTTCTTTATTTTAACATTTTATTTTTTTCTCAGCTAATTTAAAGCATGCAGTGTCCAATTACACTGCATGCTTTAAATTCTTTAATTTTTTCCACTACGTGATATATGTTCTATTATGCTTTGGTCATGCTAGAGGTCCACAGCACAACCAAAACTACGGTGACCTTGCACAGAGAACTTCTCAAGTTCATGGTGACATTTTAAAGTGATTGATACTTGTTACTGCTATAGTAAAGGACACTGACATAGCATAGTCTCTGTAATACAACGTGCACTGTTCACTATTATAGTCTGTTCAAAGCGCTACGCCTCCACTACTGTAGATATATTTATAGCACTCTGTAGATCTGTTTACCACACGTCGATACATCTGTATATGTGCAGCACATCTGTATATTTGCTGTCTGTATATCAATATAAACATCTGTATACTCAACTTACTTGTATATAATCTGTTCATAACTATTCTCACCTTTTATACTACCCTTATCTGTTCCTTATCTGCTCCTACTGCACTTACTGCTCTTGCACTTCTTATGAGATGCAATCTGTATTTCACTACCCATATTTATACATGTGTAATAACAATAAAGTTGAATCCTTATTTGTGTTTTTTTTTAATCAAAAGCATTCAACTCATAACGTTAAAATTTACATGCACACGTGAGGAACAGACCAAGCAGGATTTATGGAATAAATCTGTCTCTTTCTGACCCTGTTAGAGTGAAGAAGAAGCAACATAGCCTGAAGAAGATAGTTTGGAAGGTTATGTTCTATTATAACAGAGAAGCTAAATTGAGCTGTTGTCTTCAGGTAAAGACAGAGAAAAGAAGGCATGCACTGACAAGTGAGACGTATTTGTGAGTTTTATCTGATAAAGAAAAAACATAAAAAGAAAGAGACGAGGAATCCCAATAGAGCCTGGCATCAAGGCATTACACTGTTGAGACATAAACTGAAACAAATAGTTGCAGGATAGCTTTTACCTTTGCCTTCCAGAGGAGGAAGATTAGAGAATCAGCTACGCAAAAAACCTGAAGCTACTCAGTCCTGCTACAGGACAATTTAGCAGACAAAACTGTTGCCAAAGCCTAACTGAGAGTTTAAGACAACATTTCAAGAGTTTGTTGTAATATTTAAAGATGACAAACCATAAAATATATTCTGAAATTCATGACCAATAGCACTCATTTTACATTTAGGCATTACATTATTATTGTTCACAATTTATGTTATTGCAACAAGATATGGATATAAAAGATGTTGAAGACTTTTACATCACTAACACGCCGACATCGTAGCATTAACAATATGGAAGAGTAAACTGTGACAGCTTTTTTACTTTGAAAAACAGAAGCGCGCTGCGTTTCCTAATAATAAATACTGGAAAATAGATTTGTGCAATTAGATGAAAACTTTTTTTTTGTGTAGTCATTTATTTTTTATTTTGCATACTCTGCTTGTAAGCTCCACACCTCACCACTAGTTGCTTCACTTTACTTTGCAGTCACTACTTTCATTCTTTTTTCCATCACACCTTCCAGTGTTGGCGCGCACACATAATAACACTGCAAGGTCAAAGTTCTGTTTTATGTTATATGAATACATTTTTCTTTGTTTGAGTTACCTGGGGGTTGGCTTCTCCTTCCTGGTTGGCAAAAGGTGTGACAAAGGGCTGGGGGATCTGAAATACTGCTGACAACCTCATTGGACTAAACCACATGCTTGATTAGCTGGGGGGTGGTTGAAGTTTGTTTAATTGTCCCCCTTGTGTGTCATTTGGTTTGGCTAAACCAGTTCCTCATGTGTCATTTCAGGAGGTCTGTTTGTCTGAGGTTTT